TTTTTTTTTTTTTGGAAACAGAGCTTCAAGCTATCACCCTGGGTAGAGTGCTATGGCGTCACAGTTCACAGCAACCTTAAACTCTTGGGCTTAAGCAATTCTCTTGCCTCAGCCTCCCCAGGAGCTGGGATACAGGTGCCCGCCACAACACCTGGCTGTTTTTGGTTGTAGTTATCATTGTTGTTTGGCAGGCCTGGGCTGGGCTTGAACCCACCACCTCTGGGGTATGGGGTCGGAGCCCTACCCTTTTGAGCCACGGGCACCACCCCTAGCATTGTTGATGGTTTGTAGCATTTTCTGGCCTCTAGATGCCAAGAAACAACCCCTCCTACCCCAGCTGTGACAACCAAAATGTCATCAGACAACCCAAATTGTCAAATGTCTTCTGGGATATAGTGGGGGAAGTAGTGGGTAAAATCGTTCCCACTGATTTAAGCAAAGCACTTTTCTGAAGATGATGGTCCTCCAACCAGCACTATGGACTGAGAAATGTTCGTTCTGCTACAACAGATGTTTCTAGAATACCAATCAGCTCACATATGATTAGTAACTAGGAGAATGATGTCAGCATAATGCGGGAGTTGTGTTGGTTCATGGTTTTTTCCTAGTTTAAAAAAAAAAGGCAGAATAGTGGGTATAGAATTTAAACCTATAAAGGAAAAAGCCTCAGCATGGCTGCTGCACATACGGACTCCTCTCCAGCCCGCACTCTGGGCTCCCTCCCCAGAGAGGCACCGCCAGCTTGCAGAGCTCTCCACCACGTGGCAGCTGCAGCGCTTCCTCCTGGGCTTAATGGCAGCCCTGCTGGCTCCTAGCTCTGAGCTCAGGGTTTCATCTGTAAACCTGCAGTGACACTATTGCTCTTTTGCATTTTTACTATCCTCTGAGGCAGCCTCTAGCCATTGCAAGCTGCCAGTGTGTACCATCCAAATTGTCTCCCCTGGTATCAATCATAGTTTTTGTTACTGTTAAAAAAGTTGGCTAGGTTTTCAATTGTTTGTCCCAGCCCCGTTCTCTGCTCCCCTTCCTGCCCACAGCCACTGTTACTATTTAATGCATGACTTGGCAGAAAGTGAAGTTTTTTTAGGAATACATACATCATTTTATAGCACAAGCTTCTGTGTTTGGGTCCTGTGGTGGGTGATTGTTGAAGATTATCCAATTAGTTCCCTGAATTCTATACCCACTAAGCAACTTTTCATTATTACATGGCTTTCCAGTACTTATCTACAGAGAGAGTATATTTATTTGCCAACCTAGGTATTCTCTACTGCAAAACTCGTATTTTTCTCTGTTAATTTAAAAGCTGGTCTTTACATTTCTACACCAGCCTCTTTGAGCCTGGTTGAGGAGCCTGGCCCCTGACAGAAATGGCTTTCCAGCTTGCTGGGCTGAGGGAGTAAGGCTGAGAATTCACTGAAGTGGATGACACCTTGGTTAGCCTCTTGGCAGCTGGCTGGACTTGCTCTGGACACGTCTCTCTACTGCTGACGGCTATGTCCCCTTTACTCGCTAAAACATACTGCACACAGTGAAACCTTAGCAGTTTCTGAGAGAAGCAGCACAGTGTATATTTATGAGCCCAGTAGTTGGAGCCAGAATGACCAGATTTGAAGCCTGGCTGTCCTACGTCCTAGGCGTTGACCTTGGACAAGTTACTCAACTTGTCTGTGCCTCAGTTTTGTCATCTATAAAATGGAGATTAGAGAATTTGCCTCATGGGTTTATGTAAAGATTATATGAGATAACAGAATAAATAAATTACTTAAAACACTGCCTGCCATTTAGGAAGAACTTAAGTGTTTCCTATATTAATATTAGAGTATTAATTTCTATTTCAGTAATTCAGTCACATAAGTTATTTTATGTAATTCTTGTAACTACCACATGAAATTGGGCAGATATTATTTACCCTATTTTGCCATTAAGGCACCCAAGGTGCAGAGGGTTTAACTTTCCCAAAGTTATAATATAGACTAAAGTTCACACCACATAGATATTTCTGTATCTTTTTTAAAAACTACCAGAGAAGATATGAACCACTATATTACTCAGATTTCCTCATCTAGAGATCTGAATAACAAGCTGTTTATAGGACTTAATAATATCTCAAAAAACTTGTTTCCTGAGGAATTAAGAGATACTATCTTTTTAAAAAATTTGACAACTTTGTAATTATCTTGTCCTTGGTTACTTGGGATATTAGTTAAAAATGCTGAAGTGCTGGCTCAGTGCCTGTAGCTCAGCGGCCGGTGCCAGCCACATACACCAAAGCTGGCAGGTTCGAATCCAGCCCAGGCCTGCCAAACAATGACAACTATAACCCCCCCCACCACCACCAAAAAAATAGCCGGCCATTGTGGCGGGTGCCTGTAGTCGCAGCTTCTTTGGAGGCTGAGGCAAGAGAATTGCTTAAGCCCAAGAGTTTGAGGTTGCTGTGATCTGTGATGCCACGACACTCTTCTTAGGGCGACATAGTGACACTCTGTCTCAAAAAAAAGAAAAAAATGCTAAGTGCCATAACCATCATCTATAGATTTCCTTTTCTTAAGATAATTTTGAATATTTATTTTTGACTGTCCTATTATACATATAGCCTTTTGACATTGACTTCAAACTGTGTTTGGTGAGGTAATCTTTAAAAAATTTTTTTGTTACGGAAATTTTCAAGCATATACAAAAGTATACAAGGTATACACATTCCTTGAATGTGCAAGGAAATATGAATGTTATAAAGATAGAAAAAACACTGGTTTTTATCTCCAAGGAACGTTAACATTACTAAAAGAAATAGGATTTTTTTTCAGAACCACGGTGTGAGGCAGCCTATGTTTTCTGCCTTTATCATGACACTCGTGGTAAATCCCATAGGGGTGCTACACAGGGAGGGAGCATTTCAGGCCTGTGTTGGTTAGAGAAGGCTCCATGGAGCTGGTAACACGGCCCGGAATTTCAGTAGGTTTAGAAAAATGATGAAATGCTTATTTATAGTACTTCCCTCCAGCCCTCCAGCCCATCTGTATTAGCCATCTGTATTTAGTTATATTTGTAGTGTTTAACAATTTGCCATTGGCTGCAATTTCCATGCATACCCTTTCCTCTGTAATCTGTTTATTAGGAATAGGTATAATATGGCCACCCATGCCTTCCCGCCAGGCTTCCTAACATCAAGAAATGTTTTTGCAGGATTTGACCCAGCTTACAGTAGATCTCATTTGATGTGTACTGTAGCAATGTATCATTTTACACCAGATATTGTATGTGATAAGCCGTATATATGTCATCCACCTGCAGCCTGTACATATGACAAACTGTGTCTGGATTGCTGATCTAGAAACAGAACTGTTCAGTTTATCCTAGTGAGGCTAATTCACACAGACTAAATGCAAAGAAACTAGTGTATCACTAAGAATGCCAGTCTATTGATTCATCATGGGAAATATTCATTTTCCATAACCAAGCTTTAATTATATGCTATCACATACACACACTACCTTCACCAAGAAGACTCCTATTGAGCAAGGCATCAAAGCCAAAATGTCCTGGAGAGATATACCCTTTCTTTTCTTTCGCCTCAAGCCATTGCCCTGTGTAGAGTGCTGTGGAGTCACAGCTCACAGCAACCTCAAACTCCTGGGCTTAAGCGATTCTCTTGCCTCAGCCTCCCAAGTAGGTGGGACTACAGGAGCCTACCACAATGCCCGGCCATCTTTTGGTTGTAGTTGTCATTGTTATTTGGCAGGTCCAGGCTGGATTCGAACCTGCCAGCTCTGGTGTATGTGGCTGGCACGTTAGCCGTTTGAGCTACAGGTGCCACCGAGACATACCCTTTCTTAAGAATTGAGAACGTTTAGCACTGCTCCTGTGCTTTACAAACAAGGAGATTGAGGCTCAGAAAGATTAAGTGATTTGTTCAAGGTCATAGTGCAACATGGCAGTGGGGGATGTGGGACTGTGATTACAACCATTTATTTGAATTCTGGAGCAAACCGGCTGACACTAACTCTGATCTCTCAGCAGAGAACAGAAAAAACGCAAATATCAGAGAACAGGAAAAGGAAATCAAAGAGGCAGAAAGAGCAAACAAAATACAGAACTGAAAATGGAACCTCAGTCACAGATAGAAAAGGAAATTATGGAACAAGCACTGGCACCTACAGAGAAAGAAGCTGAACTACCAGGAAGTGTAACCGAAGCCCTTCCTTTGGTAGCCTCCCCACGAGAAGTTATGCCCAAGGAACATTTTTCTGAAGTACGTCAAGAAAGCATTATACAGCAGGAAAATTCTTCTGCGTACCAAGAAACAGTAGTACAAAACAATTCTTCTGAGACATGCCAACATATGGCTGAACCTGAAGACCTGGCTCCTAAAACGTGCCAGGAAATAGCTGTACTCCAAGACCATCCTCTCAACACCTGCCAGGATACAGCTGAGCCTGAAGACCTGGCTCCTAAAATGTGCCAGGAAATAGCTGTACTTGAAGATCATCCTCTCAAACTGCTCCAGGATACAGCTGAACCTCGAGACTTCACTCCTAAAATGTTCCAAGAAATAGCTGTACTCAAAGCTCTTCCTTGTCCAACCTCTGAAGACACAGCTGACCTGGAAGGACACGCTCCTGAAGCAGGCCCCAAACCAGACGTGCCTGAAGGCTATACTCTTGATGGGCACCAAAAACCAGAAGCGCCAGAAGAATGCAATGCTGAATCAGACCGAGAAATAGCTGAGAATGAAGGCTTCTTTCCGAAAACACAAGAATTAGCTGTGCCCAAAGACCTTTCTACAAAACCACACCCAGAAACAGTTGAACCTGAGCACTCTTCTCATAAAACGTATAAAGAAATTGCTGTATATAAAGCCCTCTCTCATAAGACAATCCAAGAAACACCTCAGCCTGAAGAATCTTCACCTGACACATACCAAGAAACACCTGGGCCTGGAAAATATTCACCTAGAATATACCAAGAAACACCCACATTCAAAGAATATTCACCTGAAATAAACCAAGAAACACTGGAGCCTGAAGACCTCTCTGCTAAGACATGTGAAAATAAGGATATGCCTAAAGAATGCCTTCCAGAACCACACCAAGAAATAGGTGAGCCCCAAGACCGGGATCCTAGAGTAAACCAGGAAGATGCTAAGGATGTTTATGGTTTTTCTCAAGGTAAGGGCTGTTTATACATGTAGCACTGAGATAGGTATATCTCGGAGTAGCAATTTATGACCTGCTTTGAAAATCATAGATTATCTCCATGAGTATTATGAATACTGTTGGCCAATTTCGAGTAATATCTTTTGTGCAACCAACATTCGTCCTGAAACCTTCCCAAAGGATTTAAAAAATAATTGAAAAGGCAAGAACGTACAGTAGGTACTTGTACATACTCTCCATTTGGAGAAGCTATAGGCAGTGAAATGAGTTATGTGCAAGATATTTTAAAGGACAATTACCAGTAGTCTAGATAACAAGAAGTCTTGATAAATGATGTTTTTCTAGGAAATTTAATTTTCTTGATAAACTAAAGGCAAGTAAATTTGTAGTACAAGGTACTGACAGAGATAGCAAGGTATACAATACGCTCGATCCTGTTACTAGGGAACTCATGGGATTTATCAGGTTTACAAAAAACGATTTCTAATTCAATATTTGCTCCTAAAAACCTTTTTACTAAGCACAGTATTTTGAAAATAATGCAAACTTTTTTTTTCTAGAAAGGACTGGATGACCTTTCTTTAATTTGACTTGCCTCAGAAACATATCTGAAAACCTCAATTCTTTGTACGATACTGTAGACAGTATAAAAAATGGACTGAGGGTAGCGCCTGTGGCTCAGTGAGTAGGGTGCCGGCCCCATATACCGAGGCTGGTGGGTTCAAACCCAGCCCCTGCCAAACTGCAACAACAACAATAACAACAAAAATAGCCAGGCATTGTGGCGGGTGCCTGTAGTCCCAGCTACTCAGGAGGCTGTGGCAAGAGAATCACCTAAGCCCAAGAGCTGGAGGTTGCTGTGAGCTGTGATGCCACAGCACTCTACTGAGGGTGACAAAATGAGACTCTGTCCCTAGAAAGAAAGAAAGAAAGAAAGAAAGAAAGAAAGAAAGAAATGGGCTGAGTCCTATCAGACCATAGTTATCCCTAGGAAACTTTGGTAATTTATTTGCTTCTTCTCCTAAAAGATAATTGCAACAAAAATGTGGTGTTAGGTGGCTTCCAAGTAATACAGATTTTGAGGAACTATTTAAAATGAATTACCTGCAAAGTACACATAGAAATACTGCTTGCTCTGACAGCGGTCCCTGCTGCAGAAGAAGCTCTGATTAACACAGCATCTTCATTCTTAGCAGGGGCATTCTAAACCCAGAAAGGTAGATGTGGGCAATTAATTAATGCTCATTTTAGTATGGATTTCAGCATACCAAACAAATGGGGATATCTATATTCAACTGATTATAAAAGTAATAAATGTTCATGATAATAATTTAAAGCAATGTGTAAGTGGATGTAGAATAAAAAAAAATCCCCTTTAGTACCATCTCCTTTCTGATGTTGTTTTAACAAAGAGATAAGGGTACTCCAGCCTGTAAACCTAGCACTGTGGGAGGCCAAGGTAGAGCAATTGCTTGAGATCAGGAGAACTGCTCCAGGTCAGAAGTTTGAGACCAGCCTGAACAAGAGCAAGACCCCATCTCTACAAAAAAAAAAGAAAAATTAGTCAGGCATGGTGGCACATTCCTTTAGTCCAAGCTTCTTGGGCAGGAGGCAGGAGGATTGCTTGAGCCCAGGAGTTTGAGATTGCAGTGAGCTATGACAGCCATTGCCCTCTGGCTGGGGTGACAGTGAGACTCTGTCTCAAAACAAACAACCTCCCAAAACCCCACAAGTGAAATAAGAATATACATGCTGTTCTGTAACTCCCCCCCCCCACTTATATATATTGTAGCCATCTTATGTCTTTTGTATTAGCTGAATAGTGTGGGGTCGTATGTACGCACTGTACTGTATTCAACTGATCCCTATAATGATGAACAGTTAGATTATTGTCAAGTTTTATTATTTGGACAATATTCAATGAGCATTATTGGGACTTAACATTTATTTGATACTTTTCTTTGTGCCAGACACATTAAATATTTTTTGTGAATTATTTTATTCAATATTAAAAAACCTACAAGAGAAATGCTATCCCCATTTTTTTGGGGGGGGGGACAGAGTCTCACTCTGGGTAGAGTGCCATGGAGTCACAGCTCACAGCAACCTCAAACTCCTGGGCTTAAGTGATCCTCTTGCCTCAGCCTCCTGAGTAGCTGGTACTACAGGTGCCCACCAAAATGCCAGGCTAGTTTTTTTATTTTTAGCAGAGATGGGTCTCACTCTTACTCAGGCTGGTCTCAAACTCCTGGGCTTGGGTGATCCATCCATCTCCGCCTTCCAGAGTGCTGGGATTACAGGCGTGAGTCAATACCCATTTATATATATAAGGAAACTAGGCCCGGGAAGCTTTAATTTGCTTGGTTATTTCCTTAGGATCATTCCCTAGAAGTTGACTTGCTGGTCCAAAAGATACCCCCATTAAAACTCTGGATATATCCGGTCAGATCAGGCCCTAGAAATGTAGCAATTCACACAAGACAAGTGCCTTTTCCCCAGCCTTGCACTGCACATGATGACATTTTAAAAAACTTCTGCCTATCTTCTAGGTTAAAAAATAAACCCCCCGGCTCGGCGCCTGTGGCTCAAACGGCTAAGGCGCCAGCCACATACACCTAAGGTGG